CAATCGACGGACGCATTATCGTTTGTTTGTTTTTTTAAACGGAATCGCCGCCATCGAGTTTCACGCTCAACAGATTTCGCTTAAACACGTTAGAAGGCGAGAGGCTTGGCTGGAGCGGAAACGCCGAATTCCTTCTCGCTAGCCACGTAACGCCGGACACAATTAATAGCCGTAGCGAATAAAAAATATAACGGTTCTAGTAACGTTCAACCACAGCGGTTCAATCATACAAACGAAAGGTACATACGTATACTGCATTATAACAACGGGGGGAGTACGAAATCACTTTGCCCATTTAGCAAAAAAATATCCACGCCTGTCCAAGTCTGTGTGTGGGCACTCATTAGCAATGACAGCCGCTCCCCCTTCCACCTCAGCACCTCCCAAATGCAAGACCATCAACAGACTATGGAGGGGAGCGGTGAGCAGGCTGGGGGGGGGGGTGCAAGGAATTCATTCTTTGCCTTCATTCTTTGAGCACCCCTGGGGCTCATGCCAACCACAGTGCACTACCGGTGCGTGCGTGCGCGTATGCATGCGTACATCTCTGTTGGGACGCGTGCGTGTGCCGGTGTTGGGATGTGGTGTGCGTGTGTGGACGTGGGCGCCACGGTGGCTAGGAGAGGTTGACTGCCTCGCCTGGTCTACAGGAGGTTCTGGGTTCGATCCTGACGCCTGCTGCTGCTGCTGTATATTTGGAGTTTGTTGTCGCTCTCCCCATGCTCGCGTGGAATTCTCTTCAGGTTCTCCGGTTTTCCCCTACACATTTAGAATCAACGTGTGTTTGGCGACAATATATTTCCACATGATGAGCCACTTGTTTGTGTTATTATTTGTGATAGCCAGGTCACTTCTGATAAAGAACAACACAGTACAGCTTCGTGGGCCTTACCTGGTAAAATAAAAAATTGTTTAGTTTCGTGTAGCAGTGTGCTTGAGGGTGTACAGGCATAGTAGGGGCTACAGATGGTGCTTCTGCCAGTCATCTCAGTCAGTCGACCCATGGCACCACCTGGGTCAGTCCTGTAACCTCCTGCCAGCAGGCCCTTCGACACTTCACGTGGCATCAAGGTGCACCTAGCCTGGCACAGGTGCCGTGGTGATGCCACCGGCACTTTGTGGTGAATGGCGGCTGTTATTGTCGTGTGTTTATGTATTTTTGGGAGGTGTGTGTTTGGGAGGTGTGTGTAAACGTGTGCGCCCGTGTGTGTGTGCGCGCGTTGGGGTATGGGTAGTCAGTGGCATTACTGTAAAGTGTGCAGGCGGTGCAACTGCAGCAGGATACGTAAGGGGCGAGGGGACGATGCCATGTGGAAGGACCCCCCCCCCTCCCCCACACTTCACGCTGCGTACCGGAGCGCCGTGCCAACGAGGTTACGCCACCACTTCTGGCGCCGGCTAAAATGAGAACCATAGATTTTTTTTTTTCCCCGTGGGAAACCAACAGCGGTTGGTTGACCTTTTGAACACTCGAAACCCCGGCCATAGGAATGTGGAATTTCAACCACTGGCTTCGAGGCTGTTAAAAAAAAGATGCCACCGTTGCGCCAACCCTCCCCATTTCAGAATTCACTCCACCAACAAGTTGGGGGTAGCCGTGTGAGCGGCTCCACCGGACCCGCAACACGGAGCGTGCCGGTTCGACTCCCGGCTCCCCATGGGCACGTCGGTCAAAACAGTGGGAGACGAGGTTTCTATTGTCAAAGCTGCCCCTCTCTCCTCCCTCCCTCCCCTTCCCTCCGCTTCCCCCAACCGCCTCTGACCTCCCAGCAGTGTTGAACGGGTGCGATCACCACAGATAAGGTCGAGTGGCAGGCGGCACGTGGTGGGTTCTAACGCGCGGGTAACTCCCCTTGGCGCGCGTGGAAAAGTGAACCGGGAGTACGGGGGGGGGGGGGGGGCGGGTTGTCACCTCTGAGGGGCGCAGAACAACCGGGATGGAACATTGGCAGAGGGGAGGGGAGGTGATTTCTAAACGACAGTGGCCGAGGAGGGGGGGGTGCGGGGAATTGCAATGTGAAGAACGAATTCTGCCTCGAGTTGCAGTGGTCGTAAATCGAGTGACTGCGGCGGCGGCAGCCTCGTTACTCCGGGCAAAGTGCTCGGCACTTCCCCAGCGCGGTGGCCTCCAGCCGCCGGCCCTTCGCTCGGCAACGCGAGGGCAACGGACACGAGAAGGGGGAAAAAAAGAACCACCCCGGTACAGGTGGCAGCACCCCCCACCGTCATCCCGGGCATCAACCGCGGCTCTCGCTCTACGCAGACCGTCCACGTGACCGCTCCGCATCCATTCTGCTCATTCGCCCGGTGAAAAGAAGCATCACCGAGTGATTATTCGGCGTTGGGGATGTTTGGCGGATGCCAGTGACGCGCTGCGTATGTGCGGGGAGCGGTAGCGTGGTGGTTAGCGGTCGGTGCTACGCCGCGCTACGACCCGAGTTCCGATCGCCGCTCACGGCCACCAACACCAACACCGACGATTATCTGAACCGGTCCCGGGCCTCCCCGCTATGTCGACTCAGCCTCAAATGAGTACCTGGTGCGGTGTGTTAAAAAAACATCGCCACTGGAGAGACAAAATCGGTCCGGGCGTGATGCTGGCCACTCACCCCTCGTGTGACGGCTAGCTATGGGAGAAGGATTCGTGGAGAAAACAGCCTATCCAGCAGAGGGGGAGACACACACCCACACACCCGCACACCCACACACCTGCACGCCCACACACCCGGCAAGGCAGTAGCCCTAGTCGGGAATCGAACCCAGGCCGCCCCATCCGGCCAACACGATTATGCGACCATTTCACAGCTCCACCAATATTCCGACTGTCCCGGGGCGGGAACGGACAAGTGACGTTGTATTGTGGTCGGGGTACTAACGGAGAAGAGGGAGATTATAACCGTAATGGCGATGCATTTATACGAGGAGGTGGAGGAGGTGTCGATGTTATAAAGGAGTGGTTCGGTGGAAAAAATGTTTAACAGCCCACGTACGCACACACACACACACGTGTGTATGTACACTGGAGTACGTAGCCTTTAAATTTCACCCCAGTGACCGCCATAGACCCATAGACTCACAGAGACCCATAGACTCTCACAAAGACCCAGAGGCTCACAGAAAAACACAGAGACTCACGCAGAGACCCACAGACTCTCACAGAGATCCAGAAACTCACAGAGAGACCCAGACTCATAGAGAGATCCATAGACTCTCACAGAGATCCAGAGACTCACGCAGAGACCCATAGGCTCTCACATAGACTCAGAGACTTGTGTAGAGATCCACAGACTCACAGAGAGACCAATAGACTCACACAGAGACCAATAGACTCACAGAGAGACCCAGAGTCTCACAGAGAGACTCCGAGACTCATAGAGAGACCCAGAGACTCTCACAGAGACCCAGCGACTTACAGAGACCCAGAGACTCTCACAGAGACCCATAGACTCACAGAGACCCACAGACTCACAGAGAGACCCAGAGCCTCACACAAGAGACCCAGCGACTCACACAGAGACCCACAGACTCTCACAGAGACCAATAGACTCACAGAGAGACCGAGAAACTCGCACAGAGACCCAGATACTTGTGTAGAGATCCAGAGACTCGCAGAGACTTGCAGAGTGTTTGTGGGTTGCTGCTCTCTCTCTCTGCCACGGGGCTGCTGATGAGCAGCGCTGCCTCTCAACGTCTGAGGCCACCGCAGCACGGGGGGGGGGGGGGGGGGAGTTCGCGGAGGCACACGCAGGGGGCAGCACCGATCCTCTTCCTCGCTCTCTCTGAGCCAGTGGTGGAAATTCCACATTCCTTTGACGGGGAGAGGGGGGGGGGGGTCGGTCTCTTTGTAAAAACACAACCACGGTCAAATTCCCGTGGCGCATCGACGACACGCAGTTTACCCGCCCCGGAACGCTGAAGCTCACGGTAGCGATGGTGATGTCGGTGAGGGTGGTGGTACGTGCTACAGATGATGGTCACGGTGGCGATGTATTGACGTTGAACTTCTTTCGCGCCGTGCGTGGCCAACCGTGCCGATGGCGATGCGACGGAGACGGGGATGACGATGGCGACCATGGGGGTTGCTACGACGAGCCGAGTTCAAATACCAACGGGTGAACATTATGGAGGAGGGTGGAGGGGTGGGGCGAGGGGGCGGGGGTTCACCAGCAGGCAGGGTCCAGCGCCGTGAGGCTCCGCCTCGCGGCGGCCGCCCGACCGGCCTCAACAGTTCGAAGGTCGCGAGGTCAAATCCCAGCCGGGGCTCGACTCGGCCCACTCACTTCACAACCGCCAGCATCGCCACCGTCACCACCGTAACCTTCACCGCAATCGCCGTCGGCCGCCGTCGCCGTCGCAAAATCGCCAGCCGCTGCGGGACGCCCGGCACGGCGCACGAACGCGGAGCTCCCGGGCCGGCCAAACGCGGGGCGGCAGGAGGCGGAGGCCGACGGGCCTCGGAGTCGCTGACCGTCAACTCCTCGCCGCCGGCGACGGCGGGGGGACCAAACCGCCGGCGCCCAACGCTCGGCTGTGGGGACCGACTCCCCCCGTCTCCGGCGGAACGGTGCGGAAGGTTCCCCCCCCCGCCGGCTCTTTGCCGAGCCGAGGCGGAAACCAAACCGGGCCACGCCGTCGGGCCCCGCGGCGAGGGGTGGACGTCTCCGCATCCGGCTCGGGGGCCAAGCGGGGCCAGGGGACGGGGGGGGGGGGAGGGGCACTACCGACACGTCCGCCGCACGCGAGCGTCGGCACGGCTCCCCCTCCACCGTCCTCTCCCTCGCGGAGCCTCGACGAGCCGCGTTGCCTCGGGCACGGCCACCGCTCGCTCGCTCGCTCGCTTCGGCGGCGGCGGCGGTGGCGGGAAACGAAACAAAGCGAGAGAAAAGAGGTAAAAGACATCGTCGGTGGGGACACGGGCGGCCGCAGCCTCAGCCGTGGCACCGTCCGGTCCTCACGCTGACCCCGCCCCCCTCTCCACCACCCCCTACCCCCCCCCCCCCACAGCAACTTTGCAATTCACTGAACCCGGGGCGCAGGGGAGACTCCCTCCCTCCCTCCCTCCCTCCGCTCGCCTCAGAAGGGCAAGCTGCCCGGGTGGCCTGGCCCATAGCCGATGTCCATGGCGGGCATAGCTCCCCGCTGCCTCATAGCCTTGTGCTGCTGCTGCTGTTGCTGCTGCTGTTGCTGCTGCAGATTCAGCAGCTCTTGCTGCTGCTGCTGCTGCTGCTCGGGCATCATCATGACGGGCCCACCGGGCCCTCCCACCATGTGGTGGTGACCGAGCTGCTCCATCGACAGCGCGGCCCCTCCACCGCCGCCGCCGCCGCCTCCTCCCGCGCCGCCGCCGCCGCCGCCACCGCCGCGCTGCTTGGCAGAACTCAGCATGCCGTGGTGGTGCATCAGAGGCTGCTGCTGCTGCTGCTGCTGCTGCGGTGATTGCACCACCTGACCGCTTGGCGACGAGCCCTGCTGCTGCTGCTGCTGCATGTGCGAGGGCATCATCATGTCCACGTGCTGCTGGTGGTGCTGGTGGCCCAGCGGGTGCTGCTGCTGCTGCTGCATGGAGGGCAGGCAGGGCCCGCCGGAGGCCGCGGCCGCCCCCGGGTGCGGCGTGGGAGGAGGGCCCATGGCCAGGCCCGGGCGGCCGTGCGAGTGAGGCCCCGTGCCCGCCGGGTCGTGCATGTGCATGTGCATGTGTTGTTGTTGTTGCTGCTGCTGCTGAGCGCGACTCAGGGCCTGGGCGGCGTAGGGAGAGCGCAGGCCCATCATGGCGCGAGCGCCGCCAGCGTGGAACTGCGTGGGCGGCGGCGGCTGGCGGTGGTGCGGCACGGAGCGGGGAGAGACCTGCGGAGGGCGGGAGGAGGAGGAGGAGGAGAGACGGGGACGGATCAATCACAGGTAGCGGCAGAGTGCCGAGTGACGGCGACGCTTCGCGTCTCTTCGGTCGCCGCGACACCCGGCCGCCTCCGCCGCCCCGGTCCGCGTGGGTTCACCACGCGAGAGCCGACACAGAGAGTGGTGGGGGAGTCGTGGGGGAGTGGTGGGGGAGTGGTGGGGGAGTCGTGGGGGAGTCGTGGGGGTGCACGACTCATCCACCAGAGGCCTCTGGCGACCTCCGGTGGTGGGGTGCACGTCGACCCACGGATTTGGTCAAAAGGAACAAAGCCCCTCAAGGTTTCAAGCGAGGCGCTGTGAGCACGAGGGGGCGTGGGTGGAGCCTTGGTGACGAGCGGAGGGGGGGGGGGCTCCGGTGAGCGACAGAGAGGCAGAGAGAGCGATAGAGAGAGAGCGATAGAGCGCCGGCCCCTCGACTAACCCAACAAGAGGCGTGACGGCGTCCGCGAGTGACTTAGAGAGCACCCCCCCCCCCCCCCCAGCCTGCCGCCAGCCCCCCCCCCTCACCTGGGGGAAGTACTGCAGCGTCTGGCTGGGCTTCTCCGAGGGGATGATCCTGGAGAGGTCGAACTCGGGGATGCCCCCCACGCCCGTCCTCATCACGTCCTGCAGCTCCACGTCCACGAACACGTCCGGGGGAGGGGGGCCGCCCCCGCCGGGGCCCCCCCCTCCGAACGGGTCCCCGGGGCCCCCCATGGCACCCGGCGGGGGGGGCGGCCCCCCGGCGCCGCCGGCCCCTCCGCGCCCAGCCCCGTAGGGGTCCCCCCCCTGCTGCTGCTGCTGCTGCAGGCTCCCGCCGAAGGCCCTGCCGCCCATCTGCTGCAAGGCGTGATGGGAGGAGGGCGGCATGGGGGCCTGCTGCTGCTGCTGCTGCTGCCCTCCCATCATGGGGCCTCCGCCGCCCCCCAAGCGAAGCATCTGAGCTTGGGGGGCACCCCCCATCATGGGCTGCAGCATGGCCTCGTGGTGGGGCGGGCCCCCGCCCTGCTGCTGCTGCTGCTGCATCATGGGGTTGCCTCCCGGCGGGTACATCATGGAGGGCGGCGGGCGCGGTGACATCATGGCGCTGGGCGACATCATGAGGCCGGCGTCGGGGGGCCGCTGGGGCCCGCCGTGGGAGGGCGGCAGGCCGGGCACGTGGAGGCCCAGGGGGTCGTGCAGGCCGGGCACGGGACCCACACCACGGACGCGGCTCAGGCCTAGAGCACGGGGGGGGGGGGGGGGGGGGGGGGGAAATCCGGTGAGACTCGGCCTCAACACTCCGACCTTGAGACCCTGCCTCAACACTCCGACCTTGAGACCCGGCCTCAACACTCCGACCCTGAGACCCGGCATCAACACTCCGACCCTGAGATCCGGCCTCAACACTCCGACCCTGAGACCCGGCCTCAAAACTCAGACACTGAGACCCGGCCTAAACACTCCGACTCAGAGACCCGGCCTCAACACTCCGACCCTCAGACCCGGCCTCAACACTCCAAAACTGAGACCCAGCCTCAACACTCCAACCCTCAGAATCGGCCTCAACACTCCAACACTGAGACCCGGCCTCAACACTAAGACACTGAGATCCGGCCTCAACACTCCGACTCAAAGACCCGGCCTCAATACTCCGACCTTGAGACCCGGCATCAACACTCCGACCCTGAGACCCGGCCTCAACACTCCGACTCAGAGACCCGGCCTCAACACTCCGACTCAGAGACCCGGCCTCAACACTCCGACCCTGAGACCCGGCCTCAAAACTCCGACCCTGAGACCCGGCCTCAACACTCCGACCTTGAGACCCGGCCTCAACACTCCGACACTGAGACTCGGCCTCAACACTCCAACCCTCAGAATCGGCCTCAACACTCCAACACTGAGACCCGGCCTCAACACTAAGACACTGAGACCCGGCTTCAACACTCCGACTCAAAGACGCGGCCTCAATACTCAGACACTGAGACCCGGCCTAAACACTCTGACCCTCAGACCCGGCCTCAACACTCCGACCCTGAGACCCGGCCTCAAACACTCCGACCCTGAGACCCGGCCTCAACACTCCAGCCCTCAGAATCGGCCTCAACACTCCAACACTGAGACCCGGCCTCAACACTAAGACACTGAGACCTGGCCTAAACACTCCGACCCTCAGACCTGGCCTCAACACTCCGACCCTGAGGCCCGGCCTCAACACTCCGACCCTGAGACCCGGCCTCAACACTAAGACACTGAGACCCGGCCTCAAAACTCAGACACTGAGACCCGGCCTAAACACTCTGACCCTCAGACCCGGCCTCAACACTCCGACCCTGAGACCCGGCCTCAACACTCCGACCCTGAGACTCGGCCTCAACACTAAGACACTGAGACCCGGCCTCAACACTCGGACCTTGAGACCCGGCCTCAAAACTCAGACACTGAGATCCGGCCTAAACACTCCGACCCTGAGACCCGGCCTCAACACTCCGACACTGAGACCCGGCCTCAACACTCCAACACTGTGACCCGACATCAACACTCCGACCTTGAGACCCGGCCTCAACACTCCGACCCTGAGACCCGGCCTCAACACTCTGCTCGTCCGTCCCGCCACCCCCCACCCCGCCCCCCTCCCCCCGCGGTGCCGGCGGGACTCACCCGGAGGCAGCCCCCCCCGGGGGTTGGGGCCGGGCGACCTCTCGGAGACCCCCATCCCGGGCGGCACGGCCCCCCCGCCGGCCCCACCGTCCGGGGAGCGGTCGCCCATGGGGTCCTCGTCGGAGCTGGAGAGCGTCTGGATGGCGTCGTGGTAGAGCGGCACGGCGCTGGGCATGGGGAACTGGGACATGCGTGACATCATCAGCGTGATGGGGTTCTCTCGGCCCACGAGGTCCGCGTGGTGCTGGTGCTGCTGTTGTTGTTGTTGCTGCTGTTGTTGTTGTTGCTGTTGTTGTTGCTGCTGTTGTTGTTGTTGCTGTTGCTGCTGCTGTTGTTGCTGCGCGGCCGCTGAGACGAGGTAGGCGTCCGAGGGGAGAGGGGGGGGCGGCCCTCCCACGTTTGCCCCCCCCACCACCACCATGTGTTGTTGTTGTTGTTGCTGCTGTTGTTGTTGCTGCTGGGGCCCTCCCCCCTGTTGGTAGGGGTCTAAGGGACACCGCACAGAGCGACGCACGCAGACACACACACACACACGTACACACACGTACACACACGTACACACACACACGTACACACACACACGTACACACACACACGCACACACGTACACACACACACGTACACACACACACGTACACACACACACGTACACACACACACACACGTACACGCACACATGAGCAATGCGCACGCAGTTACCGGCGGAGCGAACTGAGCAAGCCGCGAGGCGCCACGTCCGACTATTCCAGACTCCGCGTGGGAAGTTTGTGGCCCAGCTGGTGGAGGGGCACCGCCATGACAGGCGGCCGTCCACGCGGGAGACGGCGAGAGAGCGACAGAGAGACAGAGAGAGTGAGAGAGAGACCAAGCGAGACAGAGAGAGCGAGCGATAGAGAGATAGAGAGAGATAGAGAGAGACAGAGAGAGAGAGCGATAGAGAGATAGAGAGACAGAGAGAGTGAGCGACAGAGAGAGTGAGCGACAGAGAGAGTGAGAGAGACAGAGAGAGCGAGCGATAGAGAGACAGAGAGAGCGAGCGACAGAAAGACAGAGAGAGACAGAGCGAGTGAGCGATAGAGAGATAGAGAGAGACAGAGAGAGCGAGACAGAGAGAGCGAGACAGAGAGAGCGAACGACAGAGACAGAGAGAGTTAGCGAGACAGAGAGAGTTAGCGAGACAGAGAGAGCGAGACAGAGAGAGCGAACGACAGAGACAGAGAGAGTTAGCGAGACAGAGAGAGCGAGACAGAGAGAGCGAACGACAGAGACAGAGAGAGTTAGCGAGACAGAGAGAGCGAGACAGAGAGAGCGAGACAGAGAGAGCGAGACAGAGAGAGCGAGACAGAGAGAGCGAGACAGAGAGAGCGAGACAGAGAGAGCGAACGACAGAGACAGAGAGAGTTAGCGAGACAGAGAGAGCGAGACAGAGAGAGCGAGACAGAGAGAGTTAGCGAGACAGAGAGAGTTAGCGAGACAGAGAGAGCGAGACAGAGAGAGTGAGCGATAGAGAGAGCGAGCGACAGAGAGACAGAGAGAGTGAGCGTGTGACAGAGAGACAGAGAGAGCGAGCGATAGAGAGACAGAGAGAGCGAGCGACAGAGAGAGTGAGCGATAGAGATAGAGAGGCAGAGAGATAGAGAGCAAGAGACAGAGAGAGACAGAGAGAGCGAGACAGAGAGAGACATAGAGAGAGACAGACAGAGAGACAGACAGAGAGAGAGTGAGCGATAGAGAGATAGAGAGACAGAGAGATAGAGAGCAAGAGACAGAGAGGGACAGAGAGAGTGAGACAGAGAGAGACATAGAGAGAGACAGACAGAGAGACAGCGAGAGTGAGAGAGTGAGAGAGTGAGAGAGACAGCGAGAGAGAGAGAGAGACAGAGAGAGAGACAGCGAGAGAGAGAGAGTGAGAGAGAGACAGAGAGAGACTACGCCACCGCAGTCCCACCCCAAACGGCAAACGCCGATTGTGCATCGTGAACAGCGACCCATTTGCAAGCGAGTTTATTTTCGTTACTTTCAATTGGATTTAATTTCACACCGGGGCCGACGATCCATCGTAATTCTGCCCACGGATACCTGCAGGTTGACTCAACGAGTCCGGTTTCCCATAAACCATCCGCCATTCTCTATGTCTCTCTAAATTCAAGTTTTACTCCACAGGCCGTACTGGAATGTATTATTTACTTTAATTTGTTATAATTATTATGAGCACGTTGTGAGTGTTTGCCCAGGAAGGCCTCACTAAGACTCAAAGACTCGCCCGGCAGGGAGAGGGGACCGCACAGACTGCACACACAGAGCGAGAGAGAGGCGCCCAGAGTCACGAGTCGAACCCAGGGTCTCCTTGCAGAGAGGCCACAACCACTACAGCCGGTCACACCACACGCCCACCCAACCGCTACAGCCGGTCACACCACACGCCCACCCAACCACTACAGCCGGTCACACCACACACCCACCCAATCGCTACAGCCGGTCACACCACGCGCCCACCCAACCGCTACAGCCGGTCACACCACACGCCCACCCAACCACTACAGCCGGTCACACCACACGCCCACCCAACCGCTACAGCCGGTCACACCACGCGCCCACCCAACCACTACAGCCGGTCACACCACACGCCCACCCAACCGCTACAGCCGGTCACACCACACGCCCACCCAACCGCTACAGCCGGTCACACCACGCGGCCACCCAACCGCTACAGCCGGTCACACCACACGCCCACCCAACCGCTACAGCCGGTCACACCACACGCCCACCCAACCGCTACAGCCGGTCACACCACGCGGCCACCATGGACAGCACGCACCGCCGGCCCCGCGCCGTGTCGGCCCTCGCACCGCCACCGGTAACTCACTTGGTTCGTTCGGTGAGAAGTTTGAAGCGGCCGCAGCGGCCGCCGCGGCCGCCGCGGCCGCCGCCGCGGCAGCAGCGGCCGCGGCGGCCTTCCCCCTCTTCCCCTTGGCCTGCGTCCCCGTCGCCTTGGGGCCGGCGTTGCCACCGCCGCCGCCGCCTGCCGGACCGGCGGATCCTCCTCCTCCTCCGCCGCCGCCGCCGCCGCCGCCCGCTTCCCAAGCCGGCGATGGAACGCCCACCGAGGGCGACTTGAGATTGCCTCCGGGCGAGGCGCGGGGCGAGCGGGCGTTCATGACGGGCGACTTGATGGACACCGTCTGCTGCTGCTGCTGCTGCTGCGAGGCGGCAGCGGAGGAGGAGGAGGAGGCCCCTGCCGCCCCCCCCGCTGCGATGGGGTTGAGGGGCGACTTCATGGGCGCGGACGGAGGGCTGAAGACGGGCGACGCGCCGCGATTCATCGTCGGAGACTTGAGCGAGTGCAGGCCGGGGGACGCCAACTGCCCGCCGCCGGCTCCGCCGCCCTTGGGGATCGTCACGTCCGCCGGCCGCCGCCCACGCCCCCTCTGCGGCGGAGGTTGCGACGCAGGCGGCTGCTGCTGCTGCTGCTGCTGCTGCAACAGCTGCGCTCCCTCGGGTAGCGGAGGGATGTGGCTCAACCGCTGAGCTGCGATCCCACCCACCATCTTCGGGTCGTTGCCCATGAACCGCTGCTGCTGCTGCTGCATGGCCTCCTGCTGCTGCTGCTGCTGCTGCTGCAGGGTTGGCGGTCCAGGAGTGAGTCCGGGCGATCGAGACACCACTCCGTACGGTCCTCCCGCCTGCTGCATCATCCCGGGTTTCCCTCCTCCTCCGGAGGCCGCGGCCGAAGTGACGGCAGCGGCCGAGCCGTGCTGATGATGCAGAACGCCGCCCGAGCGCAGGACCTCCTCCTGGTGGGCCCTCATCAGCTCCCTGTCGCCCGACTTCCCCGACAAGGCTGCCATGTTAATTCCCATGCTGCTTTGCTGCTGCTGCTGCTGCAGCTCCATCGATAGCTGCTGCTGCTGCTGCTGCTGCAAGACGGCCGCTGCTTCCGCGACGTCCGACATGAGACTGGGAGAGGGGTTTTTCCCGTTCAGCCCCCCGCAGTTGACGGGGTCGAGGTGCTTCTGCGAGCGGAACACCTGCTCCAGGTCAAGCGCTGACGGCTCCAGGCCCTGCTGCTGGCTCGCGGCGGCGGCCGCGGCGGCCGCCGCCGCCGCCTCCATCCGCCGGCGCTCCTGCAGCTGGTGCTGGTGCATCAGCGCCTCCTGGATGTTGCTCGGGCTGCCCAGGGGTCGTCCCATCATCACCAGCTCCTCCATCTCGGACAAGGGACCCACGGAGCCACGGGCGCCGGCTCTCAACCCCTGCTGCTGCTGCTGCTGCAGCTGCAGTATCGCTTTGGCGTTTGCGCCGTCCATTGCCGCGCTAGGCATCATCATCCGCTGCTGCTGCTGCTGCTGCATCATGATGTTCCCTGGGAAGCGGTGCGCTGGGAATCGCATCATGGATTGGCCGCGCGGCGGCTGGGGGAATCCGTTGGGATCCGGGAATCTGGCGCCCATCGCGGCCGGCATTCCGTGCGGGAAATGCTGCTGCTGCTGCTGCTGGGGCGTCATGGGGGCCTCCATTCCCACGGGAATTCCGTCCGGGAAGCGAGCGACCATTCCCGGCGGAAACTGCTTCCCGACATCGGGGTGCAGGTGGTGAGGCAGGTGAGGGTTGTGCGGGTGTTGGTGGTGCGGGTGGTGATGGGCGGGGTGGTGGTGAGGGTGGTGGTGGCCGGGGTGGTGCGGGTGGTGGTGCGGGTGGTGGTGCGGGTGGTGATGGGCGGGGTGGCCGTGCGGGTGGTGGTGTGGGTGGTGGTGGGGGTGAAGCTGCTGCTGCTGCTGCTGCTGCTGTGCCGCGTCTCCCATCTGCCCCGGGATTCCCATTCCCATGGGAAAGCGCCCGCCGCCACCGCCGCCCATCTCCGGGCTCATCGCGTCGCCAAACTGCGCCGCCACCCCTCCGGCTCCGCCACCGCCGCCCATCCCGGGCGGAATCCTCTCGAGCACCCGGCCGGGCATCCCCGGAGGGATCCCGCCCGAGAACTGCCCGCCCTCTCCCTGCGGGGGCTGCATCCCATCCGCGGCGTGCCTTCCCATCGCGCCTTGCGGCGGCTGGGGGGGCGGCGCCTGCTCGGAAAACATCACGCCCCCCGGGGGAATCCCTCCGCCGGGGCCGCCGGGGCCGCCGGGGCCGCCGGGGCCGCCGGGGCCGTCCGAGAACCGCGCCACGAGCTCAGGGATCATCCCGTCGGGAAGGTTCTTCATGTAGGGCGGCGGCGGCGGGCGCCCCGCGCCCTCGGGGGGCGCGAGGTCGCCTCCCCCCATGTGGCCCACCCCTTCCTGCCGCCGCCTCTTATCCTCGTAGAAGTCCTGCTGCAGCTTGAGCCACGCCACCTGCTCGGGGCTCAGGGGCTCGCGGCTGCCCCCGCCGCCCATCAAGTGACTCTCCAGCGCAAACAGCTGCTGCTGCTGCTGCTCCTGCTGCTGCTGCTGCTGCTGCTGGTGGTGGTGCTGTGGGGAGGAAGACAAACCCGGCATCATCACCGCACCGTGGTGCTGAGGACCCATCGCGCCGACGCCGCCGACGCCCATCATCATCATCATCGACTGTTCGGGCCCAACGCCGCCGCCGCCCCGGAACGCCGAGGGGCCCTGCTCGCCCAGCTGCCCCACGCTCTGCGCCTGCGACATCATCGCCTGCAGGGGGCCCTCCAGCTTCTTGTCGCCGGCCCTCCCGGCGGCCGCCACCGAGGAGAGGGCGGCCGCGGCGGCCGCGGCGGCGGCGCCCTTGGTGAGGAAGTCGTCCTTCTCGTCGGGGAAGAGCAGCTTGTGGATGTCGCGCAGCGTCTGCAGCGAGCGCTCGCGGTGCTCCAGCTGCTCCTGGGAGAGCCCCTCGGGGTTGTCCTGCTGCTGCTGCTGCTGCTGCTGCTGGTGGTGCTGGTCGATCGCCATGGCGACCTCGGCCGCGCCGGCGGCGGAGCCGACGCCGGGCGAGCCGCCGAGGGAGTCGCCGCACGGCGCCTCCAGCTTCACCGCGGCCGCCACCGCGGCAGCGGCCGCGGCGGCGGCCGCGCTGTCGCCGGCCGCCGCCGCGACGGCGTCGCCCGCAATGTCGGCGCCCAGCATCTGCTGCTGCTGCTGCTCTTCGTCGGAAGCGGAGGCGGTGCCGGCAGAGGCACCGCCAGCAACGCCGCCCTCAGAGTCCATCAATCGCTCCACCTTCACCTCGGCAGACGGATTCCCGGCAAGTTCCGGCGCCGCCGCGGCCGTCGCCGCGCATCCACCGCCCTGGCCGTCGCCCTCTTGCTGCTGCTGCTGCTGCTGGTCTGCTGTCGCGTCTTCAGCCGGCACCTCCACCCCAGGTTCCGGCGCTTCCGGTTTCACCGTTGCCGGCTCCGGGGAAGCCGAGGGAAGCAGCAGAAGAGAAGCGGCGGACGAGACGGGGCCGGCGCAACCGGAAAGGCCGTCGTCGCCATTGCCGGCAGCCGCGGCGGCGGAAACGGTTTCGGCGCCGCCGCCGCCGCCGTCCCCGACCGCTCCTTCCGCATCCGGGTCCGGCGAAGCTTTGCCGTCGGCGCCGGCGGACGCGGCGACGGCGCCGGCGGTTGGGGCGGAGGCCGCGCCGACGACGGCGGCGGCGCTGGCAGGGGAAGCGGAGCCGGCCACGACGTCTCCGTCGGCGAGGAGGAGGGAGGGAGGCGTGCGGGAGGGGTTGGAGGTGCAGGCCGGCGGCGGCGGCGGCGGCGGCGGCGCGGGGGAGAAGGCGCCGAGCTGCTTGGGCGAGCGCCACTGTCGTGCCGGCTGGTGCTGCTGCTGCTGCTGCTGCAGCAGCAGGTGGCTCTTCTTGCGGTGCGAGAATAACGACACGCACAACGACAACACACACACACAACGACAACACACACGCACAACGACAACACACACACACACACAACGACAACACACACACACAAACGACAACACACACACACACACAACAACCACAGCGGCAGCGTGTCTGGCAGGTGTCGCTGCAGTGCGTGACGCTCACGTAACGGGTTGCACATGAACACTGGGGGGGGGGGGGGGGGAGGTGAATGGAGCGGTCCCAACCAGCAGCATAGACGGACGGGTGTGTGTGGTTGGGTGTGGGTGGGCGGGTGGGTGTGGGCAAGTGGGTGTGGGTAGGTGGGTAGTCCGGCAAAACAACCCCCTACCTCCTCGCGGTGCCGGACGGGCAACTCTGTCGTGGACAGTGCTGTGGGGGGAGATCCAATTTTGATTGGCTCCTCCCCTCATGGCATATGTGTCCACCACAGGGGCTAAACGGGGGCTCTAGACGGGTGCGAGGGGCTGGTAACCCCTCCACCTTCAATTAATTACCACGAAACCACAAATTAAACTGAAATATGTAACTAATAAGCTTGTGCCGGAGGCCCCGGGGGGCCAGGCGTCTATGACGTCTCCTGGCCAAACCCCAATTGGCGGAGCCAGGAGCTACTCCAGAAACAACGAAAAGCCACTACGGGTGGCCACGTGGAATGTTCGAACGCTCACTGCAGAGGAGAGGCTGCCACTCCTCTGTCGGGAGCTGGACCGGTACCGCTTGGATCTATGCGGCATTCAGGAGGTCCGGTGGACCGGCTCTGGCTCCTGCCACCATGAGGGGTGGACAGTCCTCTACTCGGGGCAGCAGACTGCCAAACAACAGGGTGTGGGTCTTCTTTTGAACAAAAGAATGAAGGGGGCGTGGGAGCGTGGCGGTGAGGTGTGGGAAGCTGTAAGCCCCAGGCTACTTTGGGCTCGCCTTCCCATCAACCGGAGGCGAGGAATGGTGGTCGTGGTTACTTATGCCCCCACCGAAGATGAACATCCGTGGAGGGATGCAGGCAAAGCCGATGAGTCAGATGCCTTCTATGACCTCCTGTCACAGGTGCTGGCTAAAGTGGCCCCTCGGGATAGAGTCATCATGTTGGGTGACTTCAATGCCCGAGTTGGTCATGATACTGGCACCTGGTCTGGAGTGATTGGAGGGCATGGGCCAGATCAGCTCAATAACAACGGTAGGAGGCTGCTAGATTTTTGTGCAGACCATGGGCTTGTAATTACCAACACGCTGTTCCGGCATCGGCGCATCCACACAACATCATGGATGCATGCCGGGTCCAAGCAAGAACATCTGCTGGACTACATAGTGACGGACCAGCGAATGCGAGCCCATGTCCTTGACACCAGGACCTACCGTGGAGCTGATCTGCCCTCTGACCATCGACTAGTCATCTGTAAGATGCGCCTGCCATTCTTCCACTCCGGTGGTGGGTGTACACCCAGGACCCCATTCCAACATAAAGTGGCCTGGTCTCAGTTATCTGATGAAAGTTGCAAGCGAGAATTTCATCATCGCTTGCGGCTGGGATTGGCATCGTCCCCGACTCCTCCTGATGTCGAGGGTAAATGGGCGAGGTTTAGGACTGTGACTCATGCAGCTGCAATGGCTGCTTTGGGTACGCGGTCCAGACCTCCCCAGAGACCCTGGCTGACAGAGGAGGTGTTCAGGATGGTTGAGAAAAAGCGACAGGCCCACTGTCACCGGCTACAGAATCCCACGTCAGAGAATGAGGAGGCTTACCGCAGCCTTCGCTCGGAGGTTCGGAGAGCCGTGAGGCGCTGCAAGGATGGGTGGTGGTCGCGGGTTGCTGAGGAGATGGAGTCTGCCTCAGTGGCCCGTGATCACAAATCTCTATATAACTCCATCAAAAAAGTAACCTGCAGCGCCACACCTATTACCATCATTAGGGGAAAAAACGGTGATCCAATCTCCGACCCCCAGGAACAGGTTCGCAGATTTGCTGAGCATTTCTGTGAGGTCCTGGGGGAGGGAAAATCCCTCAGCCAGGAAAACATCGTGGCACAAAGTGAGGATGACCCTGCTGAGGCTGCGGTGCCTCAAATATTGGAAGAAGTCACCCCCTGTGAGTGGCTGGCTGAGGTGCCATCTGCTGAGGAAGAATTGAAGGCGATCCGGAGTCTGAGACCAGGAAAGGCAGCGGGCAGAGATGATCTCCCAAGCGAAATGCTGAGGGAGGGTGGCGTTTGTGCACAGACTGCCCTATATGACATCATAACAACAGTCTGGACCACTGGACGGGTTCCGCAGGATTGGAAGGATGCCCTGGTGGTCCCCCTTTTTAAGAAGGGGGACCGCACAGACTGTAACAACTACAGGGGAATCTCACTCCTCAGTGTGCCGGGAAAGGTCCTGGCAAGGATTATTCAGCATCGCCTTGCCAGGCACGCTGAGGAGAGGCTTGCGGAGCCCCAATGCGGTTTCAGGAAAGGGCGGTCCTGCACAGATGCCATATTTTCTGTCCGTCTGCTACAGCAGAGGTGTAGGGAATTCCAACAAGACCTACATCTCTGCTTTATTGACCTGGTCAAGGCCTATGATACCATCAGTAGGCCTGGGCTCTGGGTCGTTCTTCGTGCTTTTGGAGTACCTGACCCTCTGCTCACGATCATTAAGGACCTTCATGATGGTGAGCGGGCCCGGGTAAAACTACGTGGCCGGGAGTCAGAGCCATTCCCTGTACACCTTGGGGTGCGACAGGGATGTCCTCTGGCTCCCACATTATTTAACATCTATTTTGACCACGTAGTTCGTGAAGCCTTCAATAGCTGTACCGGGGGAATCTCCATATGGTACAGATATAATGGGAGGCTGATCGATGCCCGGGTGCGGTCAAGGGATGGCTCCCTATTGCTCAACCACGTTATGTATGCTGATGATTTGGTAATAGCTGCTCAGTCAGAGGAGGAGTTGGAGACGCTGCTGCTGAGACTGGAGCGTGCCACTAAGAGGTGGGGCCTTACCATCAGCCCCACCAAAACTAAGCACCTGCCTGGGTATTTTGTACCATCGGACACTCCACCCCCACAACTCCCAATCGGTGATGGGGCAGTTGTGGAGAGAGTGGAGAGTTTCCCATACCTGGGCAGTGTGCTTATGACTGGCTCCAGTTTAACAGCAGAGGTCTCACTCCGAATCAGTCGAGCGGCAATATCTTTTCATCGGTTGCGTAACGCTGTGTGGAAGCTACCTGGTCTGTCGCTCCGCACTAAGCTTCAGGTCTTCTCGGCCACGGTCATTCCCTCCCTTCTCTACGCTTGTGAAACGTGGACCCCCCTAATGGAACATCTTCGCCGGTTAGAAACATTTAGGCTGGCCTGCCTACGATCCATCCTGGGTTTAACCAGACTGGATTGTGTGAGGAGCTCACAAATCCTTGAAAGATCTGGGCAGGGTCCCATCGGTGAGCTCCTCCGGCAGGCAAGGCTGCGATGGCTGGGTCATGTAGCCCGCATGCCCAGCCACCGCATGCCGAAACAGCTTTTGTTTGGCCGGATTGAGGGGGCTAAGCGGGCGCGGCACGGGCTAGAGAAGAGATGGAGTGATGTGGTACAGGAGGACGTGGAGCTGAGTGGACTTGCCGATGACTGGTACCAGCGGTGTCAAGATCGGCCTCTGTGGAGGAGGCTCGTGAAGGATGCTACTGGGCAGTTGGAGGTAGTCGCCCTCCAACAACAACGGAGGGCGGAGGAGCGACGCTCACAACAACGAGCGGAGCGCCGGGTGGCCAAAGCACAGCAGGTTGGCACAGTAGGGGGCACAGGTGGTGCATCAGCCAGTCATCTCAGTCAGTCGACCCGTGGCACCTGGGTCTGCCCAGTGACCTCCTGCCAGCGGGCGTTCGACACTTCACGTGGCCTCACGGTGCACATAGCCTGGCACAAGTGTCGTGGTGACGTCACCGCCACTTAGTGGCGAATGGCGGTTGTTGTTGTTGTGTGTGAGTGGTTGGGTGTGGGTGGGTGTGTAGGTGGGTGTGTGTGGGTGGTTGGGTGTGGGTGGGTGTGTGTGGGTGGGTAGGTGGGTGTGTGTGGGTGGTTGGGTGTGGGTGGGTGTGTGTGGGTGGTTGGGTGTGGGTGGGTGTGGGTGGGTGTGGGTGTGTGTGGGTGGTTGGGTGTGGGCAAGTGGGTGTGGGTAGGTGGGTGTGGGTAGGTGGGTGTGGGTGGGTGTGTGTGGGTGGTTGGGTGTGGGCAGGTGGGTGTGGGTAGGTGGTTGTGGGTGGTTGGGTGTGGGTGGTTGGGTGTGGGTGGGCGGGTGGGTGTGGGCAAGTGGGTGTGGGTAGGTGGGTGTGGGTGGGTGTGTGTGGGTAGGTGGGTGTGGGTGGGTGTGTGTGTGTGTGTGGGTGTGTGTGGGTGTGTGTGGGTTTGTGTGGGTGTGAGTGGGTGGGTGTGGGTCCTGGGTATGGTGGAGTGTCAGTGCAGCAGTTAGCCCCGCACTGCGCTACAAACCCGGTGACCCAAGTTCGATTCCCGCTCACGGCCACCAATGCCGGTGACGATTATCTGAATCGGTCTTGGGCCTCCTCTAGGTAAGCTCGGCCTCAAATTAATACCCGGTGCAGTGTGCAAACATCGCCACTGGGAAGACAAAGGCGGCTGGGCGTGGTGTTGGCCACCCACCCCCTCGTGTGCCGTGCCGGCCTTCATAGGTGCTACTCGCTAACAGCACTTGCCCAAACATTTTGTTAAGGGGGATGTTTTTCTTTGTGTCTGTGTGTTTGTTTATGTGTGGGGCCTTACCATCAGGCCCACCTAAACTAAGCACCTGCCTGGGTATTTTGTACCAACGGACACTCCACCCCCACAACTCCCAATCGGTGAGGGGCAACTGTGGAGAGAGTGGAGAGTTTCCCATACCTGGGCAGTGTGCTTATGACCGGCTCCAGTTTAACAGCAGAGGTCTCACTCTGAATCAGTCGAGCGGCATTATCTTTTTATCGGTTGTGTAACGCTGTGTGGAAGCTACCTGGTCTGTCGCTCCGCACAAAGCTTCGGGTCTTCTCGGTCATGCCCTTTCTTCTCTACGCTTGCGGTTAGAAACATTTAGGCTGGCCTGCCTACAATCCATCCTGGGTTTAACCAGGCTGGATTGTGTGAGGAGCTCACAAATCCTTGAAAGATCTGGGCAAAGTCCCATCGGTGAGCTCCTCCGCCAGGCAAGGCTGCGTTGGCTGGGTCATGTAGCCCGCATGCCCAGCCACCGCATGCCCAAGCAGCTTCACAACAACGGGCGGAGCGCCGGGCGACTAAAATACAGCAAAGTTGGCGCAGTGGGGGGTACAGCTGGTGGTGCATCAGCCAGTCATCTCAGTCAGCCGACCCACGGCACCTGAGTCTGCCCCGTGACCTCCTGCCAGCAGGCGTTCGACACTTCACGTGATAGCCTCAAGGCGCACTTAGCCTGGCACAGGCGTCGTGGTGACGTCACCGCCACTGAGTGGAGAATGGCGGTTGTTGTTGTTGTGTACGTATGTGTGTGTGTTGAACTTCTTTCACACCGTACGTAGCCAAGCGTGCTAATGGGAGGTGCGGTGGTGGTGCTGGGTTTCAAAGCGGCCGCTCGCCAACTCACCCGCACAGCCTGCGTCTTGCAGTTGGACGCGTTCTGCTGGTGGAAGGCGAGAATTGAGTCTACACGGCCCTGGTTCACAGCCTCCGCCGCCCTGTATGCCACACACACACACGGACACACACACACAGATATACACACACACACAGACACACGCAGAAACACACACACAAACATACACACACACAAACATACACACACGCAGACATAGAAACACACACACAGAGACACACGCAGAGATACAGACACACACACAGACACACACACACAGCCACACAGGATGGGTGAGTGGGTGGGTGAGTGGCTGGAAGGGTGTGTGAGTGAGTAGGTGGGTGAGTGGCTGGGTGGGTGAGTGACTGGGAGAGTGGCTGGGTGAGTGCCTGGGTGAGTGGCTGGCTGGGTGAGTGACTGGGTAAGTGGCTGGGTGAGTGACTGGGTGAGTGGCTGGGTAAGTGGCTGGGTGAGTGGCTGGGTGGGTGAGTGGCTGGGTGAGTGGCTGGGTGGGTGAGTGGCTTGGTGGGTGAGTGACTGGGTGAGTGGCTGGCTGGGTGAGTGACTGGGTGAGTGACTGGATGAGTGGCCGGGTGAGTGACTGGGTGAGTGGCTGGGTGAGTGGCTGGCTGGGTGAGTGACTGGGTGAGTGGCTGGGTGAGTGGCTGGGTGAGTGGCTGGGTGAGTGACTGGGTGAGTGGCTGGCTGGGTGAGTGACTGGATGAGTGACTGGATGAGTGGCCGGGTGAGTGACTGGGTGAGTGGCTGGGTGAGTGGCTGGCTGGGTGAGTGACTGGGTGAGTGGCTGGGTGAGTGGCTGGGTGAGTGGCTGGGTGAGTGGCTGGGTGAGTGGCTGGGTGAGTGACTGGGTGAGTGACTGGGTGAGTGACTGTGTGAGTGGCTGGGTGAGTGACTGGGTGAGTGACTGGGTGAGTGGCTGGGTGAGTGACTGGGTGAGTGACTGGGTGAGTGGCTGGGTGAGTGGCTGGGTGAGTGGCTGGGTGAGTGGCTGGGTGAGTGACTGGGTGAGTGACTGGGTGAGTGGCTGGGTGAGTGACTGGGTGAGTGACTGGGTGAGTGGCTGGGTGAGTGACTGGGTAAGTGGCTGGGTGAGTGACTGGGTGAGTGGCTGGGTGAGTGACTGGGTGAGTGACTGGGTGAGTGGCTGGCTGGGTGAGTGACTGGGTGAGTGGCTGGGTGAGTTGCTGGGTGAGTGACTGGGTGAGTGGCTGGGTGAGTGGCTGGGTGAGTGGCTGGGTAAGTGGCTGGGTGAGTGACTGGGTGAGTGACTGGGTGAGTGACTGGGTGAGTGACTGGGTGAGTGGCTGGGTGAGTGGCTGGGTGAGTGACTGGGTGAGTGGCTGGGTGAGTGGCTGGGTGAGTGACTGGGTAAGTGGCCGGGTGAGTGACTGGATGAGTGGCTGGGTGAGTGGCTGGGTGAGTGACTGGGTGAGTGGCTGGGTGAGTGACTGGGTGAGTGGCTGGGTGAGTGGCTGGGTGAGTGACTGGGTGAGTGGCTGGGTGAGTGACTGGGTGAGTGGCTGGGTGAGTGTGGCATCCCCTCACTTGTTCAGAAGCTGGGTTGAGAAGACGCACACCAGGGCAGAGAGGGGGGGCTTGGGGGGAGCCTGGGGGGCCTCCGAGAGATCAGAGGTCACCCCGAGCAGGGTGGCCGTAGGGGGTCCACCCACTCCTGCCCCAGGACATGCTGGGAGAGAGGTGATGACACTGGTCAATGCACTGTTGGATGAAGACCAATGTGTTGTGTCTAACCCCACGGGTGCGTTCTCTAGTCCACGTGGCCGCTCTCTGTGTGCGCCTCTCCACGCTTCTCCGTGGACTTGTCAGTTTCCACTCACTAGCGTTGGCGAATGGCCGCGTTGCCAAACCACGTGGCAACGTGGACCGTCCATGGCGTGGCGTGAGAGTGGGAGGGGGTGTGAGAGAGTGGGGGGTGAGAGAGTGGGGGGTGTGAGAGAGTGGGGGGTGTGTGAGAGAGTGGGGGTGTGTGAGAGTGGGGGGTGTGAGAGAGTGGGGGGTGTGTGTGAGAGTGGGGGGTGTGTGAGAGAGTGGGGGGTGTGAGAGTGGGGGGGGGGGTGTGAGAGTGGGGGGGTGTGTGAGATAGAGTGGGGGGGGTGTGAGAGTGGGGGGTGAGAGAGAGTGGGGGGGTGTGTGAGAGTGGGGGGGTGTGTGAGATTGGGGGGGTGAGAGAGTGGGGGGGGGGTGTGAGAGAGTGGGGGGGTGTGAGAGTGGGGGGGTGTGAGAGAGTGGGGGGGGGGGTGAGAGAGTGGGGGGGGGCTGTGTGAGAGAGTGGGGGGGTGTGAGAGTGGGGGGCCCGGGGTGAGAGTGGGGGGCCCGGGGTGAGAGTGGGGGGCTCTGGTGAGAGTGGGGGGCTGTGTGAGAGTGGGGGGGTGTGAGAGAGTGGGGGGGTGTGAGAGAGTGGGGCTGTGTGAGAGAGTGGGGGGCTGTGTGAGAGTGGGGGGGGGGGGGCTCACGTGGGGAGGAGAGGAGGGGGCGGTCGTCCTCACTCTCGCCTCCAGACCCCCACTCGGGGGCCGCCGTGAAGGCCGCCCGGCGCTGGGTGGCCCCCCCCCTTCTCTTCCCACGGCCCCCACCTGCCACACGGGGGGGAGCAATCAGAAACATTCATACAGATGGTGGTGGTGGTGGTGGTGATGGTGGTGGTGGTGATGGTGGTGGTGATGGTGGTGATGGTGGTGGTGGTGATGGTGGTGGTGGTGGTGATGGTGGTGGTGATGGTGGTGATGGTGGTGGTGGTGATGGTGGTGATGGTGGTGATGGTGATGATGATGGTGGTGATGGTGGTGGTGATGGTGGTGGTGGTGATGGTGGTGGTGGTGGTGATGGTGGTGGTGGTGATGGTGGTGGTGGTGGTGGTGATGGTGGTGATGGTGGTGGTGGTGATGGTGGTGGTGATGGTGGTGATGGTGGTGGTGGTGATGGTGGTGATGGTGGTGGTGGTGGTGATGGTGGTGGTGGTGGTGATGGTGGTGATGGTGGTGATGGTGGTGGTGGTGGTGGTGGTGATGGTGATGGTGGTGATGGTGGTGATGGTGGTGGTGATGGTGATGATGGTGGTGGTGATGGTGGTGGTGGTGGTGGTGATGGTGGTGGTGGTGATGGTGGTGGTGGTGGTGGTGATGGTGGTGATGGTGGTGGTGGTGGTGATGGTGGTGATGGTGGTGGTGATGGTGGTGATGGTGGTGGTGATGGTGGTGATGGTGGTGGTGGTGATGGTGGTGGTGGTGGTGATGGTGGTGATGGTGGTGGTGGTGGTGATGGTGGTGGTGGTGATGGTGGTGATGGTGATGATGGTGATGGTGGTGATGGTGGTGATGGTGGTGGTGGTGATGGTGGTGATGGTGGTGGTGGTGATGGTGGTGGTGGTGATGGTGATGGTGGTGGTGATGGTGGTGGTGGTGGTGGTGATGATGGTGGTGGTGATGGTGGTGGTGGTGGTGATGGTGGTGGTGATGGTGGTGGTGATGGTGGTGGTGGTGGTGATGGTGGTGGTGGTGATGGTGGTGGTGGTGGTGATGGTGGTGGTGATGGTGGTGGTGGTGATGGTGGTGGTGGTGATGGTGGTGGTGATGGTGGTGATGGTGGTGGTGATGGTGGTGATGGTGGTGGTGGTGATGGTGGTGATGGTGGTGGTGATGGTGGTGATGGTGGTGGTGATGGTGGTGATGGTGGTGATGGTGGTGGTGATGGTGGTGATGGTGGTGGTGATGGTGGTGGTGATGGTGGTGGTGATGGTGGTGATGGTGGTGATGGTGGTGATGGTGATGGTGGTGATGGTGATGGTGGTGGTGGTGATGGTGATGATGATGGTGGTGGTGGTGGTGATGGTGGTGGTGGTGATGGTGGTGATGGTGATGATGGTGGTGATGGTGGTGGTGGTGATGGTGGTGATGGTGGTGGTGGTGATGATGGTGGTGATGGTGATGGTGGTGATGGTGATGGTGGTGGTGATGGTGGTGATGGTGATGGTGGTGGTGATGGTGGTGGTGGTGATGGTGGTGGTGGTGATGGTGGTGGTGATGGTGGTGGTGGTGGTGATGGTGGTGGTGATGGTGGTGGTGATGGTGGTGGTGATGGTGGTGGTGGTGGTGATGGTGGTGATGGTGGTGATGGTGGTGGTGATGGTGGTGATGGTGGTGGTGATGGTGGTGATGGTGGTGATGGTGGTGGTGATGGTGGTGGTGGTGATGGTGGTGGTGGTGGTGATGGTGGTGGTGGTGGTGATGGTGGTGATGGTGGTGATGGTGATGGTGGTGATGGTGGTGGTGGTGGTGGTGATGGTGGTGATGGTGGTGGTGATGGTGGTGATGGTGGTGATGGTGGTGGTGATGGTGGTGGTGATGGTGGTGGTGGTGATGATGGTGATGATGGTGGTGGTGGTGATGGTGGTGATGGTGGTGGTGGTGATGGTGGTGGTGATGGTGGTGGTGGTGATGGTGGTGGTGATGGTGGTGGTGATGGTGGTGGTGATGGTGGTGGTGGTGGTGATGGTGGTGATGGTGGTGGTGATGATGGTGGTGATGGTGGTGGTGGTGATGGTGGTGATGGTGGTGGTGGTGATGGTGGTGATGGTGATGGTGGTGATGGTGGTGGTGGTGATGGTGGTGGTGATGGTGGTGGTGGTGATGGTGGTGATGGTGGTGGTGATGGTGGTGATGGTGGTGGTGGTGATGGTGGTGATGATGGTGGTGATGATGGTGGTGATGGTGGTGATGGTGGTGATGGTGGTGGTGATGGTGGTGATGATGGTGGTGGTGGTGATGGTGGTGGTGATGGTGGTGGTGGTGATGGTGGTGATGGTGGTGATGATGGTGATGGTGGTGATGATGGTGATGGTGGAGATGGTGATGATGGTGATGGTGGTGATGGTGGTGATGGTGGTGATGGTGGTGGTGGTGATGGTGGTGATGATGGTGATGGTGGAGATGGTGATGATGGTGGAGATGGTGATGGTGGTGGAGATGGTGATGATGGTGGAGACGGTGATGATGGTGGAGATGGTGGTGATGGTGGTCGTGGTGATGGTGGTGATGATGGTGATGGTGGAGATGGTGATGATGGTGGAGATGGTGATGGTGGTGGAGATGGTGATGATGGTGGAGACGGTGATGATGGTGGAGATGGTGGTGATGGTGGTCGTGGTCGTGGTGATGGTGGTGATGATGGTGATGATGGTGATGAGTGTTTTTAATGTTTTCTTTCCAAATTAAATACGGAAGCACCCAGGGGGAGGGGCGGTGGGGTTGAGGGTTATGGGGGGGGGGGGCTAGAGGGTGGCTGGGGGGGGGGCTGGGGGGGGCAGGGTTTTGGTGGGGGGGAGGGGCTAGAGGGTAGCTGGGGGGGCCCGTCCATAATTATGGAAGGGAACTGAGCACTGAGGTGAAGCGACGAGGTGAAGCGTGGAGGTGAAGCGTGGAGGTGAAGCGACGAGGTGAAGCGACGAGGTGAAGCGACGAGGTGAAGCGACGAGGTGAAGCGTGGAGGTGAAGCGACGAGGTGAAGCGACGAGGTGAAGCGACGAGGGGAAGCGACGAGGTGAAGTGACGAGGTGAAGCGTGGAGGTGAAGTGACGAGGTGAAGCGACGAGGTGAAGCGTGGAGGTGAAGTGACGAGGTGAAGCGACGAGGTGAAGCGACGAGGTGAAGCGTGGAGGTGAAGCGACGAGGTGAAGCGACGAGGTGAAGCTCCGCCACTGACCGCGGGGTCCGGCGAGGCCGTCGTACGAGGGGCTCCTCTCGCGCTTCCCGTTGCTCCCCTTGAGCTTCGCGCTCCCGGGGGTCCTCCCCAGGGCCTTGGGCCCCGCGAGCGCCGCCATGGCGGGGGGGGCACCACCCCCCCCGCCGACCCCTCCCCCCGCGGGCCCCCCCCCTCCGCCGCCGACCCCCCCGGGGCCTCCCCCCGGGCCCCCACGCAGCTCCGAGAGAAGCGGAACGGAGGGGGAAGCGGACGGGGAGCGGCCGCACTGATCCCCCTTCAGCTTGGGGCTGCTTCCCGGGGGGGGGGGGGGGCATGGAGAGAAGCGGGGGGCAGGAGAAAGAGAGGATGCAGAAGAAAAGACAAATCATTAACTTTATTTATCACTCAGCCACTCACTAACATACTCACCGAGGGCACCCACCCAACCACCCAACCACCCAACCACCCACTCACCTACCCACCCAACCACCCAACCACCCACTCACCTACCCACCCAACCACCCAACCACCCAACCACACACCCACCCAACGACCCACCCACCCAACCACCCACCCACCCACCCAAGCACCCACCCAGCCAACCACCCAGCCAACCACCCACCCACCCAACCACCCACCCACTCACCTACCCACCCAACCACCCACCCACCTACCCACCCAACCACCCACCTACCCAACCACCCAACCACCCTACCACCCACCCAACGACCCACCCAACCACCCACCCAACCACCCACCCACCCAACCACCCACCTACCCAACCACCCACCCAACCACCCACCCAACCACCCACCCACCCAACCACCCACCCAACCACCCAACCACCCAACCAACCACCCAACCACCCACCTACCCAACCACCCACCCAACCACCCACCCATCCACCCAACCACCCACCTAACCACCCAACCACCCACCCAACCACCCACCTACCCAACCACCCACCCAACCACCCAACCACCCACCCAACCACCCACCCACCCAACCACCCACCCCACCACCCACCCAACCACCCACCCACCCGCCCACTCTCGCCGCTCACCTGTGTGAGTTCGAGGCCGGTGAGCCTCTACACCTCGGGCTCGGAGTCCCCATGGACACCGAGCCCGGGGTGCCCGGTCCCAACGCCCCAGACGCCGCTCCCTGCTGCTGCTGCTGCTGCTGCAAGCTTCCCGTCACAGCGGCCGCCGTTGCCGCCGCGGCCGCCGCGGCCGCCGCGGCCGCCGCTGCTGCTGCTGCGGCGGCGGCGGCGTGCTGCTGCTGCTGCTGCTTCTGCTGCTGCTGCTGCTGCCGAGCGGGGCTGAACGCAGCTTTGCGTGGGTGATGGCTGCCCTGCGTTCCGCTGCCACTCCCCCCTCCTCCTCCTCCGCCTCCTCCTCCTCCTCCGCCTCCTCGCCCCGCGTGACCCGGGAAGGGAGTTGAACCCAGGCCGGCCTTGGCTCCGCGGCGCTCGGCACGGCCGCGCTTCTCGCGCCCGCCCACGCTCGCCTGCTCCACGTCCCTCATCTCCAGCATGCGCTGGGAAGGGTCACGCACGGAGATAGACGCACACACACACACATAGAGACACACACTCACACATAGACTCACACACACATAGACTCACACACACATAGAGACACACACACACTCACACACACATAGACTCACACATAGACTCACACACACATAGAGACACACACACACTCACACACACATAGACTCACACACACATAGAGACACACACACATAGACTCACACATAGACTCACACACACACACAGACTCACACACACTCACACACACATAGACTCACACACACATAGACTCACACACACTCACACATAGACTCACACACACATAGACTCACACACACATAGAGACACACACACACTCACACACACATAGACTCACACACACACATAGACTCACACACTCACACATAGACTCACACACACACTCATAGAGGCACACACACACTCACACACATAGACTCACACACACATAGACTCACACACTCACACATAGAGACACACACACTCACACACATAGACTCACACACATAGACTCACTCACACACACATAGACTCACACACACACACATAGACTCACACACACATAGACTCACACACACACACATAGAGACACACACACTCACACATAGAGACACACACACTCACACACATAGACTCACACACATAGACTCACTCACACACACATAGACTCACACACACACACATAGACTCACACACACATAGACTCACGCACACACACATAGACTCACGCACACACATAGAGACACACACACACACTCACACACATAGACTCACTCACACACTCACATACACATAGAGACACACACACACTCACACACATAGACTCACTCACACACACAGACTCACACACACACACACATAGACTCACGCACACACATAGAGACACACACACACTCACACACATAGACTCACTCACACACTCACACACACATAGACTCACACACACATGCACACATAGACTCACTCATGCACACACATAGACTCACGCACACACATAGACTCACTCACACACTCACACACATAGACTCACACACGCACACACACATAGACTCACTCACACATATAGACTCACACACGCACACAGACTCACGCACACACACATAGACTCACTCACACACAGACTCACACACGCACACATAGACTCACTCACACACTCACACACATAGACTCACACTCACACACATAGAGACACACTCACACACACATAGACTCACACACTCACACACATAGACTCACACACTCACACACACATAGACTCACACACTCACACACGCACACATAGACTCACACACACACTCACACACATAGACTCACACACGCACACACATAGACTCACACACACACGTAGAGATACACACACACACATAGACTCACACACACACACATAGAATCACACACACATAGACTCACACACACACTCACACACATAGACTCACACACGCACACACATAGACTCACACATTCACACACACAGACTCACGCTCACACACATAGACTCACACACTCACACACGCACAAACACATAGACACTCACACACACACACATAGACTCACACACGCACACACATAGACTCACACACTCACACACACACATAGACTCACACACGCACACACATAGACTCACACACACACGTAGAGATACACACACACACATAGACTCACACACACACACATAGAATCACACACACATAGACTCACACACACACTCACACACATAGACTCACACACGCACACACATAGACTCACACATTCACACACACAGACTCACACACGCAAACACATAGACTCACACACACACGTAGAGATACACACACTCACACACATAGACTCACACACACACACATAGAATCACACACACATAGACTCACACACACACTCACACACATAGACTCACACACGCACACACATAGACTCACACACACACATAGACTCACACACGCACACACATAGACTCACACACACACACATAGACTCACACACACACAGACTCACGCACGCACATAGACTCACACACACACATATACTCACACACACACACATAGACTCTCACACACACACACAAATAGACTCACACACACATTGACTCACACACGCACACACATAGACTCACACACGCACACACATAGACTCACACACGCACACACATAGACTCATGCACACGCACACACATAGACTCACGCACACGCACACACATAGACTCACACACAACAACAACCGCCATTTGCCACTAAGTGGCGGTGACGTCACCACGACGCTTGTGCCAGGCCATGTGCACCTTGAGGCCACGTGAAGTGTCGAACGCCCGCGGGCAGGAGGTCACGGGGCAGACCCAAGTGCCACGGGTCGACTGACTAAGATGACTGGCTGATGCACCACCTGTGCCCCCTACTGTGCCAACCTGCTGTGCTTTAGCCACCCGGCGCTCCGCTCGTTGTTCTGAGCGTCGCTCCTCTGCCCTCCATTGTTGTTGGAGAGCGACTGCCTCCAACTGCCCAGTAGCGTCCTTCACGAGCCTCCTCCACAGAGGCCGATCTTGGCCCCAACTGGTACCGGTCATCGGCAAGTCCACTCAGCTCCACGTCCTCCTGTACCACATCATTCCATCTCTTCTCTAGCCCGTGCCGCGCCCGTCTAGCCCCCTCGATCCGGCCGAACAAAAGCTGTTTCGGCATGCGGTGGCTGGGTATGTGGGCTACATGACCCAGCCAACGCAGCCTTGCCCGCCGGAGGAGCTCACCGATGGGACTTTGCCCCGATCTTTCAAGGATTTATGAGCTCCTCACACAATCCAGCCTGGCTAAACCCAGGATGGATCGTAGGCAGGCCAGCCTAAATGTTTCCAACCGGCGAAGATGTTCCATTAGGGGGGTCCACGTTTCGCAAGCGTAGAGAAGGGAGGGAATGACCGTGGCCGAGAAGACCTGAAGCTTAGTGCGGAGCGACAGACCAGGTAGCTTCCACACAGCGTTACGCAACCGATGAAAAGATGTTGCCGCTCGACTGATTCGGAGTGAGACCTCTGCTGTTAAACTGGAGCCGGTCATAAGCACACTGCCCAGGTATGGGAAACTTTCCACTCTCTCCACAACTGCCCCATCACCGATTGGGAGTTGTGGGGGTGGAGTGTCCGATGGTACAAAATACCCAGGCAGGTGCTTAGTTTTGGTGGGGCTGATGGTAAGGCCCCATCTCTTAGTGGCACGCTCCAGTCTCAGCAGCAGCGTCTCCAACTCCTCTGAATGAGCAGCTATTACCAAATCATCGGCATACATAACGTGGTTGAGCAATAGGGAGCCATCCCTTGACCGCACCCGGGCATCGATCAGCCTCCCATTATATCTGTACCAAATGGAGATTCCCCCGGTACAGCTATTGAAGGCTTCACATAGACTCACACACACACAGATCCCCATAGACGCACACACATAGACACGGATACCCACGGACTCACACACACACAGACACACGCGCACACATAGACTCACACACACACAGATTCCCATAGACGCACACACACAGACATGAATACCCATAGACTCACACACACACAGCTAGGTGACACGCACAGACATATAGACACACACACACAGCTAAGTGACACAAAAAGACAAAGATCCCCCGTGTAGCCT